GAGCCTGCCCCTGACCCCTCGGAGCCCCCCAGCAGGGAACCCCTAACGCCCTGCGCCCCACTGCCAGGACACCTCACCCCCGCTGCATGTGTCCCGCAGAGACCCCGCCTTCAAAGCGCAGCCCCCGGGGACTGCAGGCTGCGTGGTCCGGGCTCCTGGGGAGACCCGGGCCGTTCGGATCCCGAAGAGAGTACTCCTCTGAGTAGCTCAGTGAATTCTGCTCCTCACAAAATGACATCTTGCAGCAGAGAGAAATGGAACTTGTACGTGCTCAGCCAGCCCCTTCCGGTGACCGCAGCCCCTCGCAGGCCCCTGGGGTCAAGCCCGCGCCTCAGGTGGCCCGCCGGACCCAGGCTCGGCGGTCATTCAGGTGGCCCGTGAGGGGCCGGAGCTGGCCTGGAGCCGCAGCCACTTCTCCATTGGATCGCTTTCTACTTCCAACACCGAACAAAGGAACACACTACTGTCAAAGTCTAAGAGGATCCCAGGTTTGCCATGTAGAGAAATCATACTCTAGCACTCGCCAAGATTGAAAACCAATTCGGTAACCCCTCTGGGAGGCTGATTATGTGGCTGTTCTTTCCAAATTAATGTGTAGGTTTATTGTAATCCTAACAGTAGGACATTTCTAACAAATTTCTAAAATAAATAGCCACGAGGGTGGACTTGCCATACAGATATTAAAACAAATTGTGGCCCTGGCCAGTTGGCTTAGTGGGTGGAGTGTTGGCCGGTGGATGGAAGGGCTGCGGGTTGGATTCCCTGTCAAGGGAAGATTCCTGGGTTGCAGGTTCCATCCCCCCAACCGGTAGGGGTGCAGTAGGGATGTGTGCATGGCAGACACAGCCAATCGATGTGTCTCTCTCACATCGATGTTTCTCTCTCTTCCCTTCCCTCTCTCCCACTCTCTCTAAAAATCAATGGAGAAGATCCTTGGGTGAGGATTAACAACAAATTATAAAGCAACTGCAGTTATGCAGACCAAGAAACAAAATAGAAAGCCTGGGAATAGATCCTAGAAATGATAAATGAAAAAGGAAATATCCAACATCCATGAAGAAGGAGATATCAAATATGTTGAAGAAATAAAAGGAACATTCCAGGAATAGAGCTTGGTAGAGGACTCACTATTGGAAGAAACTACGGGAAGAAAAATGTCAATACTCTATTAACAAAAGGCATGCAAATTAAAACCTCAAGATGCCAGGTTTTTTTTTTTTTTATTTGTACCAAATTAGAAATCAGTTTCAAACTTTTAAACATAGGCAAGGGTCTGATGGGTAATCACTCTCATCTACTGTTGGAAGCATACAAATTGCATCAAAATTCCTGAACATGACTTTAGCAGTATGAGTCAAAAATAAAATCTTTTTAAAATGCTCATACTCCCTGTGACCACCAGTAATTCATCTTTCAGGATTCTGTTCTGAAGAAATTAACCACATTTGCAGATCATGGGCTTGATTATCTGTCTCTCTAGCCAGACGGATAAGCTTGTAACTCCAGTGCCAAGAGCACACCTGAGACTTCTGAGGCATTCAATAGTCATTTGTTTCATTTACATTTGAAAATTAATGTATAATCGTTTTTTCCAAGTATCATTTATAATAATGAGAAGGTCATACACTAAAGTCTGACAATAGGGGGTTGGTTAAATAGTCCACATGATGGACTGTGAAGCCGCCACTACAAATGGTGTTTATGAGGATGTTTTATGATCTGGAAATGTGAAAATGATTTTAAGAAAAATAAAGCAAACTATTAAACTGTATGTAACAGCCCTGGCCAGTGTGCTGCAGTGGGTCGAGTGATGTCCCATGTACTGAGGTCCATTCAATTCCTGGTCAGGGCACATACAAGAATCAACCAATGGATGCATAAACAAGTGGAACAACAAATGGATGTTTCTCTCTCTCTAAAAAAAAAAAAATCAATTAAAATTTTAACATTATATGTAACAAATGCGTGCAAAATATTGATCTATAGGGAAACAAATGAAAATACATCAAGATATCTACAGAAGTTCTCTCTAGGGATTGGGATTTTTTTTACACACATATTTTAGTGTGCTTTACTACAGCAGTAACATTTCTTTTTTAAATTAAATTTATACGGCCCTCACCGGTTTGGCTCAGTGGATAGAGTGTCGGCCTGTGGACTGAAGGGTCCCAGGTTCGATTCCGGTCAAGGGCATGTACCTGGGTTGCGGGCACATCCCCAGTAGGGCGTGTGCAGGAGGCAGCTGATCGATGTCTCTCTCTCATCGATGTTTCTAACTCTCTGTCCCTCTCCCTTCCTCTCTGTAAAAAATCAATAAAATATATTTTAAAAAAAATTTATTGGGGTAGCATTGGAAATAATATTATATAATTTCAGATGTACCTTATAATTTGACATCTGTGTACTCTATTGCATGCTCACCACCTGAAGTCTAATTTCTTTCCATTACCGTACATTTGACCCCCTTTGCCCACTTTGCATCCCCCCAAAAAAGTAACATTTCTAATTCTGCTAATATGAAATACCTTTTATATAAGTTATTGATTCTCCTCCCTCGCAAACTCCCATCTGTCCTCTGAACAGTCTGACCTGTATATCTTTTTTTTTTTAAACAGGCTTTATTGCTTTTTATTTTTTAAACAAATTTTTATTTATTGATTTTAGAGAGAGAGGAGGGGGAGAGAGAGAGAGAGAGAAACATCCATTTGTGGTTCCACTTATTTATGCATTCATTGGTTGATTCTTATATGTGCCTTGACCAGGGGCCAAAACTGCAACCTTGGATATCAGGATGATGCTCAAACCAAATGAGCTACCCATCCAGCACCTGATCCTCATCTTCACTTTCTTCTCTGGCATCAACATGTGTTTGTTCACATATTACAAAAAAGCTCTTACTGTTTTGAAATTACAAAATATGATACTATATAAACTGTAAGTCATTATACAACTTACACTAGATTTGCTCTTTTTCGCCTAAGTACCTATCACAGACAACTTTCTAGTTTGAGTCACATCCATAATTCATTCTTTTTTTTAAAATATAGTTTATTGATTTTTTACAGAGAGAGGAAGGGAGAGGGATAGAGAGTTAGAAACATCGATCAGCTGCCTCCTGCACACCCTCCACTGGGGATGTGCCCGCAACCCAGGTACCTGCCCTTGACCGGAATCGAACCTGGGACCTTTCAGTCCGCAGGCTGACGCTCTATCCACTGAGCCAAGCCGGTTTCGGCCATTCATTCTTTTTAATAGCTGACTGATTCCAGAGTATGAGGGTTCCATAAACACTGTCCTTATTTATGAATACCAGGTACTCAGGTTATTTACAGTTTGGTGCTATTAAAATTACCTTTAGGCCCCTGGATAGATATCTTTATATACTCCTGCCTTTATGTATGCAAAATGGTTTACTCAAAGTAAAATCTGTGCGTTGGATGATATGTGGGCATTTCCCATTTTAATAGGTCCTGCCACATATAGTTCCCCAAGAATATGTAGCACTCATATGCTTCGAGGGAGTTTGTATTTTTCTTGCTTCTATAACGTTCCCAAACCTTCCAAGTTTTACATACTTAGTACATATTCCTTTTAAATTCAGAGGGAAAGTTCAAGAGGGAAGAAAAGATCTCTCAATCTCAGTGAGCTGGACTCACATCTTTCCTGGTTCCTGGACAACCTTACACGATCTCCCCACCTCCAGTGCCCATCCAAGCCCATTTCCTGAGAAGCATTTGATAAAATCCAAGCCAGTTTACTCCCCTCTTCCAGTGCAATATTATTTTATTTACTTTTTTAAAAAATATATATTTTATTGATTTTTTACAGAGTGGAAGGGAGAGAGATAGAGAGTTAGAAACATC